CGCCGACGGCGCGGCGGAGGGCGCCGCCGACGGCGACGAAGACTCTCTGTACGTGGCGCCGGCGCACATGCGGGAGGCAATTGCGCTGGGGCACCTGCGGCACGAGCAGGCGATGGTGCAGCAGGGCGCCGACGAGCAGGGCGGCGCAGCGACGCGCTGGCTCGCCGGCATCGCCGAGGCGAGCATCTCTCTCGGGGGCTGGGCGCGTCCTCGGCAACACGTACGCGACGCGTCCCCTCGTCTGCTCGACCGTAGGTGGAGCTCTCGGTGGAGGAGCGGATGGCGACGGTGGAGGCGACCGAGGCGGCCAAGCGGCGCGCGGTCGAACAGCGCGCGCAGCGCGCCGCGGCGGCCGGCGGTGGCGTGGGGCCGTCGCTGGTCATTCCGAGCAACTTCAACGCAAACTTCCACGCGCACCGGCGCGAGACCGCCCAGGCGCGTGCTCCTCCAGGCGGCGGCGGCGGCGGTGCCGGCGGTGGCGGCGGGCCCCGCTGCACCGACGGGCTGCGCGCGGTCGAGAGCGATGGCGCCGCACTCAGCGCATTCAAGCGGCGGAAGCACTGACCGCGCAGGGGGAGAGCAAGCCGGCCCGGCCGCCGTGCGCGCACGCTGCACGCAGTATAACCAGTACATGTATCAAGAAGAGAGTCGTGTTCTCTGTTCTCGAGGTTGTGCGCGGTGGGTGCCCGCTGCAGCGGGCAGCGGGGAGAGGTGCGGGCGCATCGAGTGTGAGTCTGTGGGCTACAAAATCCTGTTAGTGATAGTGTGTCTTGCTGCTCTTCTAGTGTCGGGTAGTGACCAGGGGGTGAGGGGACGGATTGAAGATCCCTCACACCAAGATCGTGCAGGGCGGGGACACATGTCCCTAAATCCCATCTCGTCTCAGAGTTTGACCGTTTTTATTTATTTATTTATTTATTTATTTAGAGCGAGCGTCGGCCTGTGGCTGTGCGGCGTGCGGCGGTCTCTCGCCGGAAAAAGGGCAGCGACGTAGAATAAAAACAGTCTCGACAACTGGCACATGTGAGAGATTATCCGCGACGCGCGAGACTCGAGAGGAGACAACGAGAGTAGAGCGAGTACAAGCCGCACGTGCGCGACGTGGGCGTGCGTGAGGGGCAACCCCCGGGACGATATAGTGTGTCTGTATGCAACACGCAGATCACAGTCCTCGAGGCCCGAGAGCGTCCGACGCGACGACCACCTCACAGGCCGGCGCTCTGCTTCAGCCGGAAGTCGCTCTCAGAGATGTAGCGTGTCTCAATTTTGATGAGGTGAAAGCCGAACTGGGTAGCCACCGGGCCGTGGACTTCATCGAGAGCGTACTTGGGCTCGTAGATGTCCGCCTCGTTTTTGGGGTTGATCAAGCCGGTATCGTATAGCCCAAAGACAACGTCGTCAAACTCCTTCACCATTTGCCCGGGCGTGAACTTCCCAAGCTTACCGCCCCGCGCCGCCGAGTTGCAAGTGCTGTGCTTCATTGCGGCCTCGCTAAAGTCGGTGCTGCCGCTTTCAAGCGCGGACTTGATCTCAAGCGCCTGAGCCTCTGTCGGCACGAGGATGTGGCTCGCGCGAGCGTTTGTTTGCTCGTACGTCGCCGGCGAGTTGGTGTAATCCTTGTTGTCGAACGCCTTCTTGAATGCATCAAAGAGTCCCAAGCTCACGGGCCCGCACCGCATGTTCCCGCCCCTTATCGTTGCTGCCGGAGCGGGCCCGACGATCAGCGCGACGACTGCCGGTGCGAGAACGAGATGCAGAAAGCCAGTCATTGGAGTCAGCAGCCAGAATTTTCTCAGAGGGAAGGGCTCGCCAGTCTCTCTTCGCTTCGCCACCCCAAAAAAAAATCCAAAAGAGGGGTCGGGGGGCGGGAGAATCCAAAAAAGCCGTCCAAAAAGCCACAAACAGTGGCCAGGGGCGGGGCTTGCATTTTTGCCGTCGCCAGTCGCCCCGGCGGCGCGGCACGGGGTGGGTCAGGCTCAGGGGGTGGGTAGTTTATCGCAGTACGCAGACAGTTGATTGATTATCTTACGTCCGTCCCGCCGCCCGCCGCGCGGCCAGACTCCACATCACCTCAATGTAAACGAACATTGATGGGAAGGCGAAACACAGTCCGACCAACGAGACAGTGTACCTCGTCCCAAGCTCAAATGCGACGGGCTATCTTGGCGTCACGAGGGATCCCGCCTGCAGGTCCATCACCGTGCCGCCCGCACTGCCCAATGACTTGTTTGCACCGTCTCCCTCCCACCTGTGCATGCAGGTCCCGGTTCCGGGCCGAAGTCACCATCGATAGGAAGCGCAAGTGCCTCGGGAGCTTCAGCTCGGCGGCGGAGGCGGCGCTGGCCTACGCGCGTGTTTAGATGATGTAACGTAGAGACACAGGCTCTCGCCCCCCGGCCCCCCCCGGAGCCCTCCCCCCTTCCCCCACCGCCCCGCCCTGCCCCGTTGAGCGAGCCGCCCTTGCTTGACCCCTCACAGGCACGCCATCAGGGCCCGGAAAAGAGCAAGGACTTGGCCCAAAAGTTTGCCGAGCGATCCGGCAAAAAAACGGGACTAAAGCGTAAGAGCCCCCAGAAGCCCCGGCGCAATGGCGGCCCTCCCAAGGCGGCGGAAGCGAAGTCAAGTGCGGAGGAGCCCGCGGTGGAGCTGAGCGAGGCGGGCTCGGAGAGCAGTGACGATCATCACCCCATCCCCATCAGCGAGCCTGCCGAGCAGGACGAGGCGTCCCACATTGACAAGCGGGTGTGCCTGCGCTTTCTGCTTTGCTCTTTGGGGACTGGACATCACAACCCCCCCCCCCCCTCAGGCGCGCAGCAGCGCCGTTCGCACCACCATGCCCCGACGCCAGTACTCCTGCGACGAGGTTCGTCTGAGGCTCGACGGGTCGGGGATCACCGAGAGCGTCAACTTCACCCCGCCAACCGGGGCAAAGCGTTGCCGGGTCCTGATTCTCTACTCGTGACGCGTTGATCGACCCGACCGCCCACGCGTTAGAAGGCTGTGCCATTCCACCCGTTACACCATCTCCAATCTCCGACTCCCTTAACCACGTTATGCTCCGCTGCAATAATGGCACAGCCTGCGAGCCGTTCTTTCTCCCCTTGGCCGTTTCGACGAACCTACCATTCGACGAACCAACCAGCGATCCAGCACCGAAATCGACCTCGTGCCCCCCCTCCCCCCCCCCTCCCCCCCCCTAGCTATGCCGATCATTACATTTCACTCCAAGAATGTGCCGCGACGAGCTCTCCCGGCTGTTTGAGCCTTGTCGACTTGTCGTGTGGGCCGCGCGCGTCGGTCTCCATGCAGGGCGCGCTCTCTAGCGGTGGGAGCAGTTCGCGCCGCCGTTCGCGTCCCGCACACACACTGGCATTTGACAGGGGGTGGGGGGGTTACTATTAGTGTGTCTAGAATGATGAGTGTGTGTTGCCGAAAGCTCACAGGATGCAGGAGAGCGTCGACCGACCCCGCGCGAGCGCCCCGGTTTGGCCGCCCACGCACACGTGCACACCGAGCTGCACGCGCCGCGCGGGCGGCGGCGGCGGCGGCCCCGCGCGCGCGCGGCGCGGCCCGCGGCCACACGGCCAGGGCGCAGGGGCCACAAAGCGCAGGCGCCACACCTGCCTCTCCACAAAGAACCCTGCACAAAGATCGCAAGGGCGGGGACCTGTTCCTTGTTTTACCCATGCATCTCACAGTAGAGAGGTGTCCGTTTTTATTTATTTATTTTCTCCAGCGGGCTGCCCCCCCTGGTAAGAAGAAGACAGGAGGAAGCAACCAGACGGCTGCATCGCACTCACTGGCGGTCAACCCCAAAGGCGCCCGTACTCGGCTGGCGCTTCAGCTTCGAGAGCCGCGTGATGTGCTCGCTCGCCGAGAGCTCCGCGGCCATCACGTCATCGACGAGCTCGTCAACCGCCGCCAGCGAGCCTGCGTTGTGGACTCACCGCGACTGGGTGTTGGAAGTAAAGATCTATTACTCTTCACCGCGTCTGGGTGTGGCGTGAGTGTCTTTCGTGTCTTCTCGAGTGCTTAGGGGAGTGCGGGGATCTGTTGTCAGCATCTACTGTTGTCAGCATCTACTGTTGTCAGCATCTACTGTTGTCAGCATCTACTGTTGTCAGCATCTACTGTTGTCAGCATCTACTGTTGTCAGCATCTACGCCGGCGAGCCGTGGTCGCCGAGCACGAGGGCGTCGTAGGACTCGGCGTACTTTGCCGTCGCCTGCAGTGACAAGAGAGTGGTGGGGCCACCGAAATCGGCTCGGCGCCCTGGCGCAGCGGCCGTCACGTGCGCGCGTGGCGCGAGTTGGCCAATCTCGGCGATCTCTCGGCGATCTCTCGGCGATCTCTCGGCGATCTGCTCGCCTCTGGGCCGCGGGAGTTTGGGAAACCCACCGAGATGAGGTGGTCGTACGGCACCTCCGTGGCGGCGTCGATGTCTGTGATTGAGTCGCCGAGCACCAGCAGCGAGCGGCGCGCCGCGTGGTGCTTGAAGAAGGAGCCGGCGGCACGGTAGGCCGAGGCCTTGGTGAAGGAGGTGATGGGCGGGTCCGGCGCCACTGACTGAGGCGCGAGGTCGGCACCGTAGTTGAGCCGGTTCGAGCACACGGTGATGTTCTCCGTGAGGGCGTCGTGCTGGCGGAGGAACCTGTTCACAGCAACGAGGTGTGAAGAGACGCCGTTCACAGCTGTAGCCGGGCGTCGTGCTGGCGGAGGAAGAGGAACTCTTCAATCACGTCCGACAGCCCCGCGGAGACGATCAGCACCGGCACGTTCAGCAGCGCGAGGCGGTGCAGCAGCTTGAGCGCGCCGGGGCGGGGCACCATGCTCGACTGGCGCACCATCCGCGGGATGAGCGAGCGGGGCGGCTGGCCATACTTGACCATCAGCGCGTGCGCCTACGCTTTGGCCAAAGGCGTCTGAGGCGACGCCACGTCGAGGCGGCGCCGGCGGTGTCTGGGCGCCGTGTCCCACCACTGCACGCCGTCGGTGAGCGGGTTGGTCTGCCAGTCAAGCAGCGGCGCGAAGCCCTCGCGGAATTGCGCCGCCAGAAGGTCCGAGAAGCCGACGAGGTCGTGGCACTGCGTTGAGTCTCCCGTCGTGAGCGTCTGCACGAGGCGCGGAGGGGCGTGGGCGGGAGCCGGGAGCCGGGATATGACAGATATGCGTCGCACCGCGTCAAAGTCCGTGATGACCAACAGTTTGTCAAGCCGCGCGTCGCGGAGCAGCCCTTCGTGCTTCGCGCCAAAGGATTGCGTCGGCAGGAAGCTCGAGCTCAGGCGGCGCCGGCGGCGGATCGCGAGGTAGATGATGAGCAGGGAGGCGCCCGCCGCTGCAGCTGCTGTCATGCTGTGGGTGGGCATCGCTTAGTAAAAGTGTTGTTGACGTGGAAGCGTGATCAATTTCTTTATCCATGTGTCTTGTGAGCTTGTTTGTGTCTGTGTGTCGCTCGTGCGTGTCGTCATCATCTGTCTTGCGTCCACCCATACCGCGTTGGTGTCCAGTCCGAGCCTGACTGTTCTTCACCTTACTACATACATACATGCGTGTGTGCGTATGCGTACGTACTCACTCACACTTTCGCGTGGCTTCGCACAGCATCTAAAAAAAAAATGCATTTAATCAGCTCGCACGCCGCCTTCTGTGGCGTCGCGCAGAACATCAACAACGCTGATCGCAACATGCGTGTCGCGCACTCATTCATGACCGGTCTCAAACCCCTGCGCGCGAAAACGCGGTTTTTCTTCCTCTTACCGCTGCATCATGATGTCAAAATGGTTCTTCTTCGTGTGTGCCATTAAACTGCTGATTGCCCTCCTTCTCATCTCTGCCACCACCGCGTATTTTCGCTGGCCATTCGTCGAGCGCCTCGCCAAGAGGGGGCTCGAACATGTTCTGACAAAGAAGCTTGGGACCCGGTGGTCGTGTGAGTCATTGCGGATCACGAGCACGTCGATCGTCTTCACAGGTTCTACATCGCCACCAATCACTCAGCCCTCTCGCCCGCCGCCGCTCTCACCGCCGCTCTCACCGCCGCTCACACCGCCGCTCACACCGCCGCCGCAGGCGTGCAGGTGGAAAATGGGCCGGGCGGGCCGTGGGAGGCTCCCTTTTCGCTTCGCATCCGCCGGCTACGCATCCAGTTTCGCCGCCTGGTCGGCTTCTGCTCGCTCCTGCCGCCGCTGACTGCGGGGCAGAACCGGCTCGGGCCGCT